TGTTGCTATTTGTTTGAAGATGTGCCATTCTCACTGGGGTGAGGTGGTATCTCATTGTGGTTTTAATTTGCATCTCCCTTATTATGAGTGATGTTGAACATTTTTTCATATGCTTGTTGGCCGTCTGCATTTCCTCTTTGGAGAAGTGTCTTTTTAGCTTTTCTGCCCATTTTTTGATGGGGTTGTTTATTTTTGTTGAGTTTCATCAGTTCTCCTCATCTGAGGAGTTTCAAGGCAATTTAGTTGTTCTATAGCTAGAGTTTTTAAGTTCTTCATTTATCTTTATTCTAATGCCTACAACACTTTCCTTTTCCTTATCATGTCCCCACCCCACAAATAGTAACAAAAAACATTCTCTGGCTAAGGCACCTTCCTTATGTCAGCCACCACTTAGATAAGGTTTCTTTTGGAAAGCATGCCCTTTACTCCCACTTTGCTTTACTGACGACTTACCTGCTCCTGCGGGGCCCCATACTCATAACCCTACCGTTGTATTCATCTCTCTACACTGTATACATCTCTCCACTAGAACCAAGATCTGTAAGGACAGAGACCAGCATACAGGATTGAGGACAATGAGCAAACATCTGACATAAAGGAGGTGCTCAATTAATACTTGTTGAGTAAGTGACTGATACATATAAGGATGTATCTATATACAAATTTTGTTTTAAATTAAATTTAAACTAGCATTTAGTATAGAGGAATATTTGCTATAGAATAAAGCTCTCTGAAGCCTCTCTAATGTTTGTGACACACAAACGTCCCATAAAACCTGTTGCCTTGACTCAGATTTCTGACCACACACCCGATTAGGTGCTGTTTATCAGCAAGACTCTATTCATCTAGGCCTAGTGAGGAAGGAAAAAACTTTCCTGCATGGATTCTTCCTTTCAGTTAACAAGCATTTATTAAAGATTTACTGTGTACAAAACAGAGTTATAGATTTGATATACTTTGTCAAGATAGAATCCCTGACTCTTAAAAGGATCCTTTCCAGAATTTAATAAACAAAAGGTGGTTACAGCCACATGTGCTTGTTGTTAGAAAGCAGCTATTGAACCCAGCTTGCTTTTGTTCTCTCAGTGATCATACAGTGTAGGGCCCAATTTGCCACTTGAGTACGATAATTTGCTCAGTTTTGTGCTAAGCATCGGAAGCTTTAGTTTCATTTGTTCACTTAAGAACAGTTTTATTTTAAATCTGTAAATTGCTTTATTTGATCCTGTGGGTTAACCTGTAAACCACTTCAGGCTATTTGGAACTCAGCAGCATGCAAATCTTGAATAAAATCATGGGTAAATACAGCTTAAATGATTAATAATTTTTTCATGCATTTTTAGTAGTAATTCTGGATATATGACATATAGAATAGAAATAGGTATCTAAACTTTTGGTTTAGTAATTCTTCAGATAGGGATAGTTTTCTTTAAGGTCGGTTCTCTTATATTCCATCTCTTTTAGTCCTTTTCTCATGCTCTTTTCCTACCACATAGCAGCCTCCCAGATTTGAAACTTAGGTTTTAAATGCAAATGTGAAAATATGGCACATGTTTTTCATTATATTAATGGCAAATTAGTCTCTCCTTTCCTCCCATATTACTTAAGGAGAATGCTTGGATTCTGTTAAATGTCAAATTTCTTGTTAGTCAACAGAAAAATCATTCCTGAATCTAAAATACTTCAAAGAAATCTCCAGCTTAGTGCATGTAACAAAAGTCCAGTTGAGAAAATTGATATACATCAGAGATTTTTTTTTATAGAAGATTCTTGATTCTGGCTATGTATTAGAATGTTCCCCAGGTGATTATATTTCACGGTTCATAAGTGCTCTAGGTTAACTTTTTAGGGGCTGGGAATTGATAAATCTGAAGGAAATTTTTCTTTCTCGACTCTTCCCAAAATTTATATATGTGCAAAATGTTGCATTTGTGGACTTTCTGAAGCCTATTTGTGGGCCATGGCTTAGATCAGCCTTAGGTAATATCTCTGAGGACTGTGATCGCCACCTGTCCTTCAGGTGATTCTGATACACACCAAAGCTTGAGAACCAGCTGTAGAAAGCCTGCAGGGAACTATAGTTTAAATCATGCGTCTTGGTTTATTTGAAGGTCAGTATTTAAAAATATATATAAAAGAATGACTGTATATTTTGTATAAATTATCCTTTAGCATTGAATAATTCTTGTAATTAGTGGCCGTAGATTATGTTTCTTCTTTTTTGTTTTCTAGGTGGCTGACTGTGCTTGGGATGAAACGATAAAGATATATGACCCTGTTTGTCTTAGTATGCCTGTCTGAGATACATTACAACAAAGAATCAAGGCTTATTGACTGAAGAAACTACTTTACAGGAAATAAATTAACTATTGATAATGTAGACATAATGCTTTTATATGCATTCAGATTTCAGATTTTTAAAATTTGTCCTGCAATCAGTTTTGAGGCAGCTGATAAAGACCTTCTTCACTATTTAAGCCTGGTACTTAAGCCATACTTCTTAAAATCTTGAGAAATAATTAATGTTATGGTATATCTTGTAATATCTACTAAAGTAGTCTCTGTATTGTAAAATGGATTAAATTGTGGGAGACTCTTAGATTATTATCATTATACTGATGATATATTTCATTTTTAATTTGTCATTTTTATGTAAATTATACTAGCTGCTGTTGATAAAAATAAACTACATCTCTTAATCATGTATCATTTGTGACATCCCCAAGATTATTTTTTAAATATAGTATAGGAATGAACACAAGACTTTATGTGATACAGATAGATTTGTAACAGGCTCTAGTATAAATTTACTAAGCAGTTATTCACTGAGCATCTACTATGTGCTTGACTGATAAGCTGATGATTCAAGAACCTCTCTAAGATAAGGTAAGAACACATGTGTTTATTCAAACCTTTTTAGATATTCTACCCTTTATTTCTTTCTCACTTTACCATCATACCTTTTTTTTTTAAAGCTTTATTTATTTATGCATGCAGAACTGGGGCAGTGAGAGGATTCACCAGAGAGGATTCACCAGAGTGGGGAGCAGAACAGGCAGATTGACGAAGTACACTGCTGAGGGGAGACACAGGAATACAGGATAGGTCTGCGGTGCCATGTGGGTCACCTTTGGGGGTGGGGATCGAACTCGCACTGAAGCAGCTGCAGCTAGCTTACAGTACTGTGTCCTAACTCATTGAACCACCAAGAAGGGCCCTCACCATCATACTTTTTAAAGACTAGTCATTGTGAAAAATAAATATCAAAAACTATTAAATTTTAACAAGTTTTTGAGAACTTTTAACCAGAACAAAAACACGCATATTATATACTTCATGTTCTAGAAAAGATTAAGACAATGTACAAAAATAATCATTGTAAAAAATAGAACAGGAGACATGAAGTAAAGCTGGGAGTGAGGCTTGAAAATATAGGCTCAAAGTCCTAGAAAGTGGCTACTGTAGGTTAATTGGGAAATCCAGCTAATTTGGACCTCTGAGGCACAGAGTTCATGCCCAGACCTGAGGGGAGACTTTGTCCTGCTGCCACACAGGCGTGGCCCTAACCCCTTTGGGCACATGAGCACGTATTGGTGCTCAATAAATATTTGTTGAATGAATAAATGAAAAATCTCAGGGAAAGTACATTTCTTTTTAGCTCTGAGATCATCAATACTAATTGTTAATTAGATACCCCCCAAATCAAACACTTCTGAACAACAGTATATTGTAAGAAATAAGGATCTTACCACATCCATAGAGCTGTCACGATGATGAGTTCCTAGAGGTGTTTCTGTTGCTCCCCTCCATGTGAACTGATGAAATCACCCCCAGTGCAGTTTAGTAAAAGCAGGTTCACAGTGGGAGTTCTCTGTATCACAGGATTTCTAATAGATCTTTTAAAATACTTAACCCAAATTATATTTACAATGACACGAAGTAACATTTCCCTTTTAGAATGCTGGAGATATTTTTTTTTAAGATTTTTATTTATTTATTCATACAGAGCTGGGGTACAGGCCAGAGGTGCAGGGGTGGTGAGAGGATTCACCAGACACAGAGTGGGGAGCAGAACAGGCAGATCCATGAAGTACACTGCTGAGGGGAGCAGCGGGCGGGTCAGGAGAGGTCTGCCACACCATGTGGTCACCTCCGGGGCAGGCGGGGATCGAACTCATGCGGAAGTGGCTTTAGCTTCTCAGTGCTGTGCTTTAACCCGCTGCGCCACCGGGAAGGGCCTGCTGGAGATTTTTCAACAAGATAACCTACCATATATACTTTTAAACAAATATATGTGATTTAGAAACAAATGTCTTCTTGATTTATTTTTTTCTTCCTTTTCAGAGATCTTAGAGATGTCTGCAGATATTAACATTATAATATTTAACTCAAGTTCTTAAAAGTCTATCAAAGTGAACGGTGTGACGGAACACTTACCCATGGGCTCCCTAGAGTAGGGTGGAAAAACTAGAAAGAAGGGGACTAAATGGATATGATCCTGAAAGAGGTGCGGGGGGTTGGGGAGCAGTGAAAGGCTTCACCTGAGATACAGTGGGGAGCAGAACAGGCAGATCGACAAAGTACACTGCTGAGGGGAGTAGTAGGCGGGTCAGGAGAGGTCTGCCGCACCATGTCGGTCACCTCTGGGGCGGGGATTGAACTCATGGGGTAGTGGCTTTAGCTTCTTAGTGCTGTGCTTTAACTTGCTGTGCCACCAGGGAAGGCCCAGTCTCTGGACTTTTAAGAGGACAGCCAGTCATCCCCTCCAGATCTAAAACCAGCCTCAGTCACCAGGCTGCTGAGCTCGGAGCTCTCCGCATCTTCCCCAAGCTCCTCCCCCACTTGCAGGGACCTTGCAGCAGTGAGCATCTTCTGTGGCCTGGACTCACTGATATGCTCTTCCTGTTATCCTTTTTCATCTTTGTAATATCTTTGCAAGGAAGACTATCCACCTTTCCAGACAAGGAAAACAGCCTCTCCAGAGGTACAATATTCAGGAAGTAATGGAGCTGGCATTTGAACTCTGTATGAGTGTGAAAACCTATGGCCTTGCCATGTTCTCCTTTTCCTAAAAATGACAAAAGTTAACCCACCGAGAACTAGTTAAGGTGTGGAACTCTCTGGTGACTAGATCCTGATCATTCCCAAGAGTGCTGACAAAATTGAGTTTCCAAATCTAAAGAGTCAAAAGTCTAAAGAGTGACCCTCCCACAGGCCTTGGGAGATCCAGGCCGAGAGCCAGCAGCCCTTCTGACGATGGCACTTTTAACTGTAAGTCAACTATAATTTGGCTCATTCAAAAGTGAACTCATTAACTTCTTACTTTATAGGCCTTTATTTGAATGAGATAACCCACTCAAATGATTTTTACTTCCATGTGTTATATTTCCAAATCTGTATGTCCTGCCGTCTCCACCCATCTCCCAGTCTTTATACTCATTTTGTTCCAACCAGACTTTCGTGCTTACTAACGGTGCTCTTCCTGCACATGCTGCTTCATTTGATGCCAACACTGTCTACCTAGGTACTTGAAATAAAGACCTAAATGCCATCTTTGCACTATTCCTGCCCCTCCAAGATACAGAAAATAATAGATCACTGACCCCCACCTCTTTTATCACCTAAATAAGCACCATTCCGCCTCTTCCCTCAATCTAGCCAGCACTACCCCAGTTCAAGTTACCACTAACTTCCCTCTCTATGGTCACCACTGCAGCTTCCTAAATGGTGTGTCTTTCCAGTTCCGGGACCTGGGAACCATCCTCAACACCACTGCCAGAGATCTAAATGCAATTGGATTACATGCATCTCTCTGTAAAACCTTTCTTATAGACATGCCTACAGA